AAAACCCGTAAGGGAAGTCCAAAGTCGGACGGGGCCGACTATACGATACCCTTCACCACTTTGGGTACTTGCAAGACATGTTAATATTTACAATATCCTGTAGATAAAACGATCATAGAATCTTTGTAGGACCATTGAGATGAAATCGGGCAAAATTAAATATGCTATATAGATAAATATTTGAACCAATTGAAAAAGCCCATACTAGTACCCCTCTGAAATCAATGAAAAATTGCATGTCAAACGGACAGACTTGGATTCTTTGGTGTACAATTTATATAAAATCGAGTCAAATTATGTATGAGAGCTATATATAAACACATGGACCTAAATGAGTAACCGTTGCATACCATTGTCTTGTAATCACTATATTCAATTTAACACCGTCTGACCAATTTCGTGTAACCGCCATTTACATAAAATCGAACGAAAAAACATATATATAAGAACTATATCAAAATCTGCAGATTTCAACAAACCTTATCACGCATCATTTTTTTCAATAGCATTCGCTAGGCAAAATTTTACTCAATCAGACAAATATTGGGAGTTTGGTGTAGCATTCACAAATAATGGGACGAAACTATATATAGGAGCTATATCTAAATCTGAACCGATTTAAAAAAAATGCAGACATCAATCTGGATCTAATGCAATACTCTGTGCAACATTTTGTGCCAATCGGACAAATATTGGGAGTTTGGTGCATCATTCACATAAAATGGAAATAAACTATATATGGAAGCTATATCTAAACCGATTTTAATTAAACTTCACAGACATCAGTCTGGACCTAATTCAGTACTCTGTGCAAAATGTTGTCCCAATCGGACAAATATTGGGAGTTTCGTGCATCACTCACATCAAATCGGACGACTATATATTTGGGAGTTATATCTAAGTCTGAACCGATTCCAATAAAACTCCGGACACATGAGCATGGACCTGATTCGGTGCAATGTGCAAAATTTTGTCCCAATCGGAAAAATATTGGGAGTTTGGTGCATCATTTACATAAAATCAGACGAAACTTATATGGGAGCTATATCTAAATTTGAACCAATTTTCTCCAATTTCAATAGGATTCGTCCTTAGGCCAAATATGTGAACTGTGCCAAGTTTCATCCAAATCGGATCATAAATGCGGCCTGTATTTTGTTAACAAAAATACATGGACGGACAAGCATAAATCGACTCAGAAAATGATTCTATGCATATTTTGAAAAGGAACCCTGGGTCTATCTCGATTCTTTTTGCCTGTTACAAACATATGCACAAAGACATAATACCCTGTACCACAGTGTGGTGAAGAGTATAAATAGTGAGCGGAGCAGTATAGTCGTACGGGGCCGGTCATACGATACTCTACACAACTACCACGGAACTGTAACTTTCTGTTCATTTCGTACACGGGCAATATTTCGTGACAATGCACCCTCTTGACCGATTAGAGATCAACAGCACATTTTCCTTACGCTAACATTTTGCCGATTATTACCAATATTCAGTACCAATAAGCGTCCAGCGCTATATTTCTGCTCTCTAATGGGTTACTAAATAATATTTGAATACGTAAGCACCTATAAATATTTAAGTTTAACTCCCACATCCGAGTACATACGACAATATAATTGATATCAATTTAAATGTCAACCACTTCTCTTCGATGTACTATCAACTTGGACAGACGAACTGACAGTTAGACAGTTAGTTAGTTAAAGATATGGCGATCGGTATACTTAAAGGTGGGTCTGGGCCAATACTTCGCGGCGTTACAAACTCTTGGCGCTGTAATACCCTGACAACATAGTTGTGTAGGGTATAATTCATTAAATTTGTGACCATTTTGAGAGGGAGGTTCCAGCCAGACGGACTGATGGACATTTGTAAATCGAATACAAATTATCTGAGGTCTAAAACATCGGTCCATGTTTTGGTGTGACTGCTACATAAAGGCATTGCACAATTATTGGTGGACAGATGACAGACAGATGACTGGTTATTTGAATTTCTAAAATGTTTTCCAATATTGGTACACATTTTATTCCCTTTACCATATTGTGGTACCGGGTATTATGTCTTTGTGCATGTGCATGTAACAGCCAAAAGGAAACGAGATTGACACAGGGTTCATTTTGAGAATATTTATAGAATAACTTTCTGAGTAGATTTATGCATATCAGTCCTTCTGTCTGTCCGTGTTAAATTGTGAAAAAGGTACAGGTCACATTTGGATCACACAGCTTGGTACAGCTCTTTTATTTGGCCCAAGGACAAACCCTATTAAAAGTGGAAAAATCGTTTGGGATTTAGATATAGCTGCAATATATATTTTCGTCCCATAAAATGTAAATCAAGACAAAATTTTGCACAGAGTACTGAATCAGATGCAAACTGATGTATGCGAAGTTTTGTTGAAATCGGTTTAGATTTAGATATAGCTTTCATATATAGTTGCGTCCGATTTTATGTAAATGGTGGACCAAACCTCCAATATTGGTCCGATTGAAACAAATTTTTGCACAGGGTACTGAATTAGCTCCAGATTGATGTATGCGAAGTTTTGTTAGAATTGATTGATATTTAGATATATATTTCCCATATATAGTTTCCTCCGATTTTATGTAAATGGAGCACCATACAGCCAATGTTTTTCGATTGAGACAAAATTTTGCATACCGTATTGAAGTTACTACAGGTTGCCATCCGTGAAGTTTTGTTGAAATATGATCCAATTTAGTTATAGCTCCCATATATATTTTCGTGCGATTTTATGTAAGTGGCGCACTGAGGAGTCTATTTATACCCTACACAACTATGTTGTCAGGTTATTATAGCTTTGTGCAGCCCCAAGAGTTTATAACACCGCGAAATATTGGTCCTAGACCCACCTTTAAGTATATGACGATCGGCATATCTCGGCTAGCTGAGTCGATCTAGACATGTACGTCCGTCCGTCCGTCTGTCCATTATAATTTGTAAACACGATACAGGCAACAGTTATGGACCAATCTTCACGAAATTTTGCATGTAGGATGGGTTCTGCCTTTGGTAAAGATCGGTTAATATTAAGGGGATGAAATGGACCAAATACTTAATTTTTGTCGGTTTTCCTGGACGCTCCAGAGGCCGCAATTATGGCACAAACATCGCAAGTTTTTGCATGGAGAAGGGGATCGGGCCAATGAATAAGCATGCCTGTTTTGATAAAGGTCGGTCAATATTTAGGGGGTCAAATGGACCCTGACTTTTGTGTGAAAAATGACAAATTTGGTATTCTATGTCGTATATATTTACTCCTGAAGGACATAGACCCAGGAAGTTGATAGTATATTTAAGAGGAGTGGTTCACCTTTAAATTGATACCAATTATATGTTCGTATGTACTCGGATGTGGGAGTTACACGTAAATATTTTCAGGAACTTACGTATACATATATTATTTTGTAACATATTACCACAATAGAGGGGGGAAATATAGCGCTCATCGCTTTGAAATTTTCCTTGAGGATCCAGGTATGGTCAAGGACAACGCCTTTAATTTTCTGTGATGATCAGATTAAAATTTTGGGATGAAGTGAACACACGGTGAAGTGAATCTGGACAAGTAATTGGAAGGGCTGTACAGAATATTGGGATATTCGGAAAATATGTCAGTGTAAGGAAAATGTGCTGTTGATCTCTAATCGGTCAAGAGGGTGCTAGAATACTTTTTGTTAAGTTTGAAAACGGTTCAGATTTAAAAATATAGCTCACATATATATTATAGTCCCATTTTATGTAAATGGTGCGCCACAGATCATATAGATATAGCTCAGATATAGATATAGCTCCGATATAGATATAGCTCAGATATAGATATAGCTCCCTCATATATTTTTGTCCGATTTATGTCTGTTTGCTTTACATGAAATATTGCGTTTGGGGATTGAAGACGTCTCAGTTTTAGATATAGCTTCCATATATATTTTCATCCGATTTCATCAAAATGATGTACGAAAATAACTAAAGTTCGTTCGACAAATGTCTCAAATGAATAGCGTTCTTCCTCATTACAAGTTACAATTTAGTCCAATTTGCATTTACATTCTTAACACCCAGCCGAGTCTTATTCCATGATATTTTAGTAGTAAATGTCTAAAATATCTATGGTTCTACCTTGATTCCCTCTGCTTGTTAAATACAAATGCACAAAGAAAATTCCCTGTACCACAGTACGATGTAGAGTAAAACTGCTGAACAAAAGTAAAAAAAAAAAATCAAAACATTTTCATTTCCATCATTTCAAAGAATCCTCCATTAAAGAATTACTATTTAAATTGCAATAAAAATAAAACACAAATATTTTCATCTCTTTGTATTTTCAGATAAACACACACACATGCAAATATATATAAATGTATTTACAAAACTCTACAACAAATATTTAATGAATCCTCATCATCATCATGCCATGATGGTTGAATGTAACTGTAAGAATTTTCAATTTTCATTTGTTATTATTGTTTTACCACTTTAAATGATTCATGTGTGTTAATGTCTGCGTCTGTCTTGTGTAATGCAAAACTACAACAGCAACAACAACAACAAAAGTAAACAATAAACAAATTAAATGTCCAGTCCTTTGGTATGTAATGTACTCAAACTGACAACAACAGCAAAAACTGTATGAAATACGTGCAAGCTTACACCTAATTAACCAATGTATTCGAAAAAAATAACAAGTAAAGAGAAAAGTAACTCTTCCCTAAAAACGGGACAGTATGAGAGTGTGTGAATGCTAGAAAAAAACTTCTAAGCATTTTTTCCGACAAACACGAACCCGCAAGGTTGTCATAGAAATAATCATAGAGAAATGCATTAAAATTAAATCAGACTAACATTTAGCGAAACGCTTAACTGTAGAGAGTAGAGAACGCCAAGAGAAAACACTTCGCACAACTACCACCACTACTATCACCTGTATTATGCAAATAAATATTGCAAATAGTGGTCCCACAATGGCTGCATCCGAGCCACCAGAACCACCACCGCGTAATCCGGAACGCATTAATGCCACACTACACAAGTTGGCCGAATCAGTAAGTAGTGCAGATAGTGCAAATTTTCCACTTCACTTTCTTCATAGTTTGTTCTTGTTGTTCGTTTTCGTTTTTCGTTACCATTTAATTCATACTATCACATTTTCCGCCCTTTGATGTAATTCTTTTCCTGTTTACGACCTGCTTGCCCCATCTTCCAACCCATACCTTTGTAGAGGCAAGCCGAAGCAGCTGTTGCCTTTAGATTAGAATTTTTAATGTCTTTTTTCTGCATGTTTACTTACTTTCCCTTCTATTTGTGATCTTTGACTGCTGTTTCTTGAACCAAACCCTCTACTTGTAATCGGCCTTAAATCTTAAATTAAAAATTGTACCCACTCTTTAGCGTGTTTTTCAAAATCCTTTACATTATCATTCAACCATAGAATTTACCTTTTGCTATTCACTATTTTTCCGTTTTAAATGTTAGAAAAAAAAATATTAAAGAAAAAATAGAAATAAAATCAGTGTTGCATGCAATGTAGACAGTTCAAAATTGAAAATGAATAATAATAAATGTTGGGGTTAGAAAAAAAAATAATCCTATACCCAATAGTTTTTCATTTAAAGACAACAGAATGAAATTTTGTTTTAAATTGAAAAAAAAGAACAAGTGAAAAAGCGTTAAGTTCGGCCGGGCCGAACTTTGATACTTTCCACCATAAATACACTGACATATACATGCAATGAAAATGTAGGGAACACACCAAAAAGTGGGCATATACCGATAATTCTACAAACCGGTTTATGTAAACCATTATGTACACCAAATACAAACATTAGCAATTTTTAATGGGGATTTTTCCTAAAATCTGTAAGATCCAAAAAGTGGACTTATACTGATAATGCATGGTAGAGTATAAAATCCTCAAACTACTGTAATTTAGATTACAATGTTATATGAGGGTATGCCTAAAGGGGGCCAATATTGATACACTATGTAGGAAAGGGCTACTCCCAAATAATGACCGGTATATGCCAATTTTGAACCCAACATTTTAATTGTTTATCTCAATTATTTCCTTCAGGAGGTATCACTATATTAAGGAGATGCCTAAATGTCTGTCGATATTATCGTCATGTTTGTGTTTTTTATCACAATATCTTTAGAAGGCGGAATGCTTACAACAGATGGTTAAATAGCCTTTATAGGGTAAAAATTGACTATTCCCCGTAACACTACCCAACCGCAACACACAGAACAAATCATATAACTATTTTAATATAAAAAAGGGGGTTATATGGGGACTACCCCTAAAAAGTGGTGAATTTGGTGGGGAGATTTGTTACCAAATACGACTACAAAATACCAAATTTCTGCGAATTCGGTTGGAAAAGCCCTCAAGAACCTCAAAATATCGAAAATTGAGGGTACCCTTATATTGGGCTACCCGAAAAAATTGACCTATATTTATATTTTTTTTGTGGAGAGATTTGCTTCCCAATAAGAACTCAAATTATTAAATTACAGCCAATTCTGTGAAAAAATCCGGTCAAAAACCCCAAAAACTGGAAATTGGGAGGTACTCTTATATGGGGGCTACCAGAAAAAGTGGACCTATATTTATAATTTTTATTGGCGGAAATTGGTACCCAATAAGAACCCAATGTACAAAATTTCAGCGAATTCGGTTGAAAACAGCGCTTAAGAACCCTAAAATACCGAAAATTGTTGGGTACCCTAATATGGGGGCTACCCGAAAAAATTGACCTATATTTATAATTTTTAGTATAGAGATTTGCTATCCAATAAGAACTCAAAGTAACGAATTTCAACGAATTCGGTCGAAAAATGCGATCAAACCCCCAAAATACCGCAAAATTAGGGGTACCCTTATATGGGGGCTATCCGCAAATATGGACCCATATTTATAATTTTTAGTGGAGAGATTTTCTACCCAATAAGAACCCAAGGTACCAAATTTCGTCGAATTCAGTTAAAAAACGCGCTCAAGAACCTCAAAATAGCGAAAATTGGGGGTACCCTTATATGGGAGCTATGCCTAAACGTGGATCGATAAAGCCCATCTTCGAACTTGACCTGCCTGCAGACAAAAGATGACTCTATGCAAAATTTTGGCGATATATCTCAATTCGTTTAGACGCTATATCGTCATAGAATTTTACGCTGATCAAGAATATATATACTATATAGGATCGGAAATGATTATTTCGATGAGTTACAAACGGAAAAACAAAATTAATATACCCTCCATACTATGGTGGAGGGTATAAAAAGACCTTCTTTATTTGTATACCCTCCATCAGCGTGTATTAAAGTATATTGATTCGGAAAGTATATAGATTCTTGATCAGAATAAAATCCTATGTCACAATCCTATGGGCACATGTTAATTGGTTGTAATTTGTTATTTTGAGTAGTGGCACACCTTTTAGGGAGCCCCCGTATAACGCTACATCACAGAGCTTTAGCATGTGTTTCAACTAATTTAGGACCAATTTAATATGTTGGATTCTTTTTGAGAAGAAAATGTGCCTACGAAAAATTATCAATATTGGTCCATATTTCCTGGCTTTAATTTGATTTTTCAAGTTTTCATGGGGTTTCAGATCAATATTTTTTCATTTTTTAGGGAATCCTCAATATACATCAAATTTCGGTATTTTATATTTGTTATATTATTCGGTATTTTAGGGTTGTGGGGTTTCCGCTTTTCTTTTGGTTTTTCATTGGAGTGGCTATAATTTGACATATCGAATTCCTTGAAAGTTCAAAGGTCGCCCTTCACGAGTTTGGATATGTACAAAAGATGCTCGTATGTACAATTTCTTGTAGACATAACAGACATAGCATCTTGGGAGGACCATTGAAATAGAATCGGACGAAATTAGATGTGTGGACTACATGATAGTTCAATTAATTTAAAACAACCCATAAAAATTTATGAAAAATTGCATATCAATCGGACAGACTTAGTTTCTTTAGTGTACCATTTGTATGAATTCGATCAAAATTATGTATGGGAACTATATGGACATGGTTGAGCAACTTCGGCATCTACAATTTAGTACGCTGCAGTGCGCTGTCCAAAATTTATCTCGGACAAACGGATAAAAACATACATTGAAGCTAAATCGAAACCAATTTCAATCCAATACGCTATCCAATATTTTATGTTAGGCGAACAAACATAGGCTCCTCCAGTTGCATATAATCGGACGGAAATAGGTATATGAGCTATATCAACACAGTAGGCTCTTCGGTGCACCAGTGATATAAAATAGTACGAAAATATAAACGGGATATATCTAAATCTGAAGCGATTTTTACAAAACTTAATACACATCTCTCTAAACTCAATTCAATACGCTATGCAAATTACGTATCATTCGGACAAATATTATATCATGCATCTATATGGACCCAATTCAGTAGGATCTGGAAAATGTTGTCTCAATCGGAAAAATATTCGTTTGGTGCGCCATTTGAATAAAATCGGACAAAACTATATATGGGAGCTATATCTAAATCTGAACCAACTTCAACAAAACTTCACATACATAAATCTGGACCTAATTCAGTATTGGAAGTTTGGTGCACCATTTAAATAAAATGGGAACCGAAATTCTCTAATTTCAATAGAGTACGTCCTTGGACCAAATAAGTAATCTGTGCCAAATATCATTCGAATCGGATTATAAATTCGAACTATATCTTGTTTAAAATTTAACATGGACAAACGGACGGACGGGCATGCATAATTCGACTCAGAAAGTGATTCTATGCATATTCTCAAAAGGAACCATATGTGTATCTCGTTTACTTTTTCCTGTTACAAACATATGCACAAAAATATAACACCCTGTACCACAGAATGGTGATGGATTTAAAAAAGTTCCGTTTAAATTTTCCAACTGGACTGTCTATAATTTGGAACACTATTTCAAATGTCGGAAATTGGCCGAGAATGTATTCATTCTAATCCTGATGGAATTTTCTGTTTGCTTGATATTGGATTTATAATTTTCTAAATTTAGACCCTTTGTTGGGGAGGTTCCATGAGTAGTGGAGACATTCACTAAATATTGGATTAATAAATATCGAAAAATTTGACACTTCGTAAAAGAGGTACCAGAAGGTCCAAACATCGGCTTAGTAAAAATATTGGGTTGAGGAAAAATAAATCCATTATTTTTTTATGAACTATAGAACTTTATTCAAGATGCTTCGGAATGTCCGATTTCGGCCAAATATGCATCGTTTTTTTGCCATTTTAAATGTTTTCTCATATAAGTCCTGCTCTCTATTTGCAAAAAACTCTAGTAGTCGATTTTCACACTCCTCCCTAGATACCAATTTTTTATCATTAAAGAAATTTTGCAATGCAAGAAAATGATGATAGTCGATTGGTCCGGACTGACCGCCAATATGGCATAACTAAACTCATGTTATTACTTCAAAGAGTATTTCAAGGTGATGAAAACGAAATGACAAACATAATACATTATATTGGAGTAGCCTTCAATACGCCTATAACTAATTCCTGCCTTATTTTTTATATAATAGACTCTCCTCGGGCAAACTAATCAGTTCATCTTTTAAATAATCGTCTATAAAAACCTATTTTTGCTTCATCTCTTATGTGAAAGTTTTCGGTTCATCTTTGAAAAATATACTTCCTTCTATGAGTCTATTAAAGACTCCCTGCTTCTGTTGGTATTTGAAAAATCCCTTCTTCATATATCTGTCCAACTCTCTTCTTCAAATTCAAATCATCTATAAACGCCTTTAAATAATCTGTACTATAAATACTGCCTTCTTTAGCTCGTCTATGGAAACTGCACTCTCCCCGAAATACACCCTCGTTCTTCTTCATCGTGTTCTTCACTTCGTTTATGAATGACTCTTTGAATCAGCCCGTCTGTAAAGAATGCATTCCTTCGCATGTGAAGATTTCCTTCTTCAACTTGCCCATTAAGAATCCCTACATACAGTTATTCTATGAACTCCATTCATCTCTAAAATATTGACTGATGATTATCAAAAATATTGGATGTCTTCTTTGGCCAGAAACGCACTGACTTGACGATTTGTCCATAACTGTGGCCTGTACTTTGCTTATAAAATAAAATACGGACTAACAGACACACGTAGTTAGATCGACTCAGCTATTAGTAAAAGGTGGGTCCAGGACCAATATTACATGACGTTACATATTATTGGAGCCACACAATACTACAATACCTCTATAACATAGTTGTGCAGTGTATAAATTTGTTCCTCGTTCACAGAAAATGTTAAATTCTTATGCCTGATGATTCAATACCTGATGAGATATAATAATAAATTATTCATAATTTCTCAGAATTTTCAGTTTCAACAAAATTGCATAGTTTTCATAATTCTTCAGAATACTTTGTCAACAAATTACTATTAAATGTATCAAAAACAGACATTTATATATTCCAATGGGGTTTTCCGACATTCTCTTAAGGTCCTTTTGTGAATTATTAACGGGAAGTGGATGGGTTCATTTTTCCCTCATTACACACCTGAATTGCTTGTCATAAAATGTAGTTGTTCTGTTCTTATGTACTTTGGGCCATGCACTTGTGTTACTTTTCTCTCCACTACAATTTCATCTCATTATAAAAGTAAAAAAAAAACAACAAAAATAACCCACCGTGTTTCGATGTCTTTGCCATCCATAAAATATTTGTTCACTGATTTTCTGCATTTTTCTTATCCTTCTTCACATTTCTTTCTCTTTTCGTCCTTCTCCATTGTGTCTTACAGAAAAATATCAAGTCATTAGATTCCAGTGCACTCAATGACAAAACCGTCAATAATAATAAACCTTTGAAAACGATATTGTCATTGGATAATACAACAACAACAGCAGCAGCGGCAGTAGCAGGAAACGCGCAAACAGTGGCTGTGGCAGCCACAACGATAGTAACAAGTACGACAACGACAGCTGGCGCGGCATTCATTGCAACAACATCTGTGGCATCTTCAACGACAACTACAACTACGGTTGGTGAAACAAACAAATTTGCTGCCAGCTCCAATAACGCCCAATCACCCTCATCGGCCACAGCAGCCGCCTCAGCACTTTTCTATAATAAACATAAAAATCAGCAACAAAAGCAACAGCAGCAGCAACAACAACAACAGCCACCACCACACAATGATTTAACACCGAGTGGTGAAAGTATCACATCGCCTTTAAGCTCAAATGGTAGCAGCCATACTCTAACATCACCAATGACTATTGATAATCAGCAGCAACAACAACAACAGCAGCAACATCGTCTCAATTTCCCCTATCCTCCTGCGAAAGGTAATAATAGCAGCAGCAATAATAGCAACAGTTGTGGTGGTGGTGGTACAGATACCACTACAGCTATACCACACCATATGACCCAACAATTGAATGGTGGCAGCCAGCGTAGTGGCGTTGGTGGCCTTCTAAACGAACAACAACAGCAGCAGCAACAACAACAGAATCATCATCTAGCCAATGGCAGTACCAGTAGTGGAGGTAGTGTCAGTGCCGGTTCTGCATCATCGACCAACAGCAATCACAGTAACACAAGTCTGAATGCTGCCAACGTTTACAATTCCAATAACATTAACAGCAACAATTCACCAGCGTCGGGATCAAATATTCATCCAACATTAGGTAAGTAATGCCAGACAATTGTCGATGTTGTTATCCTCTTCGTTTAAGTAATTTCTCAGAAAAAAATAAGTAAAGAAAATGTTGATAGACCAAATTCCGAAAAATCGTGATGATGTGTTGTGTGACAAGCGATTGACGATGATTTCTATTGATTTTATTTTTTCTATGGTGAATTTATTTTGGGTCTGTTAAAAAATAAATATTATGGAGCCGATGAGAACATTATTTATACTCTAAATAGTTATGTAATAATTTTATGTAGGGCCTAGGGCACTGTATTGGAAAAATACCCATATTTTATTTTATTAATCGTCAAATTCCCATGAATTAAATTAGCTAGCTATTTAATGAAAAGTTAAGAAGTCGATAAGTTTGACAGTACCGAATATATTTCTCCCTTCACCATAAGATGGACACTCAGACCTACCTAAAATCGCTTGAGACCCTTATATTTGGATTATATCAGAATATGGAACAACATTGTAAAATGTTTATCAGGAACATATTCCCTATTCTTGCAGATTAGGACCTTAAACATACCGTAAAAATGTTGTGAACTTCATATGGGAACTATGCCAATTTAAGGGAACCCCACCCATTCTCGATTTTAATTTTTCAAGAATTTCAATGGGCTGATAAATCAATACCAATGCTTGTTAAGGTTTGTAACTTTGCACATATATATTTGAAGATTTAAAAGAGAAGAAAAATAATTTACAAAAATTTTTTGTTATTGTTTTGTTGTTTTTTTTTTGTAATTAAAGACAAGTCCTTATTTTTGATGGCGGGCATGATAACTCCACACTGGAACATCGGAATCCGAAAATTGCAACGGTGTTAGAAAGAGTACATGTCTGGCTCTCGTATGAACTAGGATTATTGACTTCGCTCTAAAATTAACAAAATGGTGGACCTTTGAAAAAATATTTTTGGAAAATCGCCGATTTTTTAACAAAAACCAAGTTAAAAAATAAGGAAGATCTTCACCGATTGGCTTTATCCTAGTTCATACGAGCGCTATACACTCCCAGAGAAACGTTGCAAAATTTGAAACCGATTGGACTATTAGTTTTTGAGCCATTCGCAAAAAAATGTTTTGAGAAAAACGCGTTAAAAGTTTGAGAAGCCCTTCAGCCGTCACTTGATGCTGACACAATAAATCGGCTATATCTTCAAGAGTTCTTGAGATTTTCACTTGAAATTTTGTAGAGACATTCTTTAATCAGTGTAGATTCGAATTATATCAACAAAAATTTTGACCCCGAGAATGGGGGGGGGGTCCCCTTAAAGCCACTTCAATTGGGAAATGTCCTAAAAACCATGGAAATACCAAAAAATGGGACCTTCCTATGGAGGGCTATTTAAATGAATAAATATTTAAAATGAATTTGGACCTTTTATGGGGTTGTGGCAAATGTCCTGCAAATATGTTTTCGCCATTTAAGATTTCTAAATATGATTCTTTCGATTTCTAGATATGGTTCAACATTTCAAAATACGATATTTTAAAGGCCACCGCAAATATAAACGTGGATTTTAAACCAATCGAAAGCTTTGCTCAGTATTGAGTATTTTTTTTTTTTTTTTTTTTTTTTTTTTTGGATAGCTACACATGACGGTACCCCCTTTGGGGATTGTTTTTTTTACAAATGGACTCTTATTTGATTCCCATTGGGTGTCAAATTTTCCTACCAAAAATTTGCCATGGTATAACTCGTTATATCTCCCGAAAGATAACTAGTATTTTTAATTAATTTATATCCGCCACCATAAGGGAGTGTATCAAAAGTTCGGCCCAACCGATTAATTATTAATTTTATTATTAATTATTATATTTTAATGGACTTTGGAGTGGATTTTTGAATAAATGCATGGATTTTTTAAGGATAATTTCAAGGATCCAATGGTGATTTGTTAAGGATATTTTTAAGGACCTAAACTTGCATTTTCAGGAATATGTTTTAATGTGTTTTTAATCGAATTTTTGAAGAATATTTTGTTAAGGCAAATTTAATTTATAATCATTTCTATAACAGTAGTTTTTATACCCTTCACCACACTGTGGTAGAGGATATTATGTCTTTGTGCATATGTTTGTAACAGGCAAAAGGAAACGAGAAAGACCCATGGTTCCTTTCGAGAATATGCATAGTCGATTTATGCATGTCCGTCCGTCTGTCCATGTTAAATTGTAAACAAAGCACAGGCACAGCTCATTTGTTTGGCCCAAGGACGAACCCTATTAAATTTGGGAAAAATCGGTTCATATTTTCATATAGCTCCCATATATAGTTTCGTCTGATTTTCAGTAAATGGTGTGCCAAATCCCCAAAAGATGGCCGATTAACACACAATTTTGCACAACGTACTGAAGTTATTATAACAAACGTGTGCCAAGTTTTAATGACATCAGTTCAGATTTAGATATAGCTCCCATATATAGTTTTATCCGACTTTAAGTTAATGGTGCACCAAAGACCGAAAATAAAGATGATTTCGCACAACGTACTGATGTTAGTATAACCTAACGTGTGGCAAGTTTCGTTGAAATCGGCTCAGATTTGGATATATCTCCATATATATTTTCGTCCGATTTTAAGTAAATGACGCATCAAAAATCGTTGAAATCGGTTCGGGTTTGGATATAGCTTCGATATATACTTTCGCCCGATTTCTATAAATGGTGCACCAAACTCCTAATGTTTATCAGATTGCTTTTTGTACAGACACAGCCAATATATATATATATATATATATATATATTCGACCCACTCCATGTAATTGGACTCCGAATAATCAATGGGTGTCCCATTGAGATTTGCATTAAATCATGTTTAAGGGCACAGAGCCACAAATATAATTAATATTACTTAACAATATCAAACCCAAATCTTTAAATATCTCAATATAAAAAAACCAGTGAGCGAAGCAGTATAGTCGGACGGGGCCGACCATACGATACCCTACACAACTACCACGGAACTCTAACTTTCTGCGGATGTTTATTCCGAGTCTGCGTAATATTTCGTAATAATTGCCCCCTCTTGCCCGATTAGAGGTCAACAGCACATCTTTCTTACATTTTCGAATATTCAGTCCTTCAAATTGCTTGTTCAGATTCCCTTCACGATGGGTTGTGTTCTGATGTTCGGACTAAATTCGACTTGAAAACACACAAAAAAAATAAGTTTTCGATCCATTTCATCCCAAAAGTTTAATCTGATCATCAACGAAAATTGTAGGCGTTGTCCTTGACCATAACTGGAAGTTCATGGAAAATTTCAAAGCGATCAGCGCTATATTTCCGCCCTCTGATGTGGTAATGGGTTACAAAATAATATCTGAGTACGTAAGCACCTGTAAATATTGGAGTGTAACTCCCACACCTGAGTAGATACATCACTATATTTGGTAAAAATTTAAAGGTTAACCACTCCTCTTGGATATACTATCAACTCCTCGGGTCTATATCCTTCAGGAGTAAATATATACGCTATAGAATACAAATTTTCTCATTTTTCACACAAAAGTCAGGGTCAATTTGACCCGCTAAATATTGACCGATCTTTATCAAAACATGCATGCTTATTCTCTGGCCCGATCCCCTTCTCCACGCGGTGTTTGGGTCATAATTGCGGCTTCTGGAGCGACCAGAAAAACCGACAAAAATTTAGTATTTGGTCCATTTCATCCCCTAAATATTAACCGATCTTTTCCAAAAACAATAGGGGTCTTCATTGGCCAGAACCCATCCTACATGCAAAATTTCGTGAAGATTGGTCCATAACTGTGGCTTCTATCGTGTTTACAAATTATAATGGACAGACGGACGGACGGACGGACACACATGTCTAGATCGACACAACTAGTCGAGATATGACGATCGGTATACTTAAAGGTGGGTCTAGGACCAATATTTCACGGCGTTACAAACTTTTGGGGCTGCACAAAGCTATAATAAAAGATAGTAAAATGGAATTTAACTATATTACCAAAATTGTTTTTAGAAACAATTTTGGACTTAAATTGTTAAAATAGGTCCATGGGTACGCATAGTTCCCATATAAAGGGTATCTCATTATTTTTGGTATATTGAAGTCTTTTGGTACATTCTCAACCGAATTGACTGTGAATTGATATTTTATGTTCTCATTGAGACCTAACTAACAAAATCAATAATGATCCACGTTTTCGGGGAAGGGAAATGACTGTAAATTCCTTTTGTAGTTTTAATGGTAATTTTTTAGAAGGGAATAATATTTATAACAAAAACAACCAGATGAAATTTGACTGAATAAAATTACATGAAGGCATTAGGATCCGGCTGAACTTACCATAGCTCTCATCTTATTAATTACTCATATAGATTTTTTTGTTCCCTGGATACTTTTCGTAAATCCTTAAGAATAACAAAATTAATAAATTTCACATTAATTTCCTATTAACGAAAGTAAGCTTTATAAACATGAATCATTTGTTGTATGTACATAAACTAAATACCAAATCCTGTCACTAACAACACATTTTCGGAATTTGGTAATTTGTTCGTTCGTTTGTTTGTTTGTTGGTTAATTGAATTGAAACTAATCCCTATCTATATTCTAACATAATATTTGTTTCCCTTAATTTTTTTCGGAATAACTTTCAATAAATGTCTATTCATGTTCATGTGCGTGTGTGTGTCTGTGTATATATACTGTATTTCGTTGTGTATGTATTTAATTTTGATTACATCTAATCCAGAATTTTCAATAACAATCATAAACTACATATTTAAATTATTTATTATGTTATCTGTGCGTTTTAATTGTTTATTACAAATTGTTATAGTAATTATATTTTATTCAAAACTTAATCTAAATATAATCAAATGGATGATTTCGTTCGCGAATTTATTTGTTTACAATATGTATTTGATTGATATGTCTGTGCGTGTGTGTGTGTGTTTAATTTAATTTTATGTGCGTACGTGTCCAATTTATCTGTCTCTTATTACCTGCTATATTTTCATAATTGTCCATATAATAATTTCTATGTATATGTGTATTTTTTGTTTATTGTTCGTAATTAAGCCCTTTTTAAATATGTATAATGTTTTTGTGTTTGTATTCGTTTATATATAAAACTGTATTGAAATTTAATTTGAAATTAATTAGAATATTTTGTGTGAAGTTATGGGGCTTTTTGGGTTCAATAATAAATTATAAAAAAATAAATATGAAATGATTAAATCAATATAATCAATATATATTCATCCAGAAGATACCTTTTAATTTAACGTAAAATCCGAGTAAATAAAAAGAATTTTAAGAAGGAAACCAGTAAGGAAAGTAATAAAGTCGGACGGGGCTGACTATATGATACCCTTCACCACTTTGGGTATATTCAACCGATGAATACTAATAGACGTCACATTTTTAAAGAACCAGTAACATGAAATTGGATCGAAAAGAATGTCATTCTGCAACCGATCCTACATTTTTCATTTGGTCAGATACATAAGCTATATCTAAATCTGAACCGATC